CTTACAAGTTGGTATATTGTACTTTAATTGAATAGAAATTGTTTAATAAAGGAGTAAACATAAACATAATTGCACATATAGGAGTAAAACTTAAAACTTTCTTCAATAGGAGTAAACATTAATTTTCTACCCTTAATACTAAAATATGACTTATTTGATCCTATTAAAATTTAACAAAAATCTAAAATATTTTAAAAAAAATCAATTTTTTTTAAATAAAAACTCTAAAAATAAATACAAAATAGATAAACAACATTAAAAAATATAAAACATTATGCAGTCCTTTCCCACAGCCTCAGCCATCACCTAGCAATGACACCTTCGATTGGCAAAAAAATGTCATTGTATGTAAAAACTTCCATTTTTCTTTGAAAATGTCATAAAGATGCCATATTTTCTTGAAAGCTGCCATCATGATGACATTTCAGACAAATGTTGGAATTGTTTTCGGTGGTCGGAGTTGGTGGTGTTGGGAGGTTGCTGAGACGGCGACAGATGCCTACATTTTTTTTTTATATTTTTAATTTTTTAATTTATTTATTTCATTTTTTAGTTTTTTATTTAATATTTTTTATTTTATTTTATTTTATTTTAGTAATTTTATTTAATACGGAGGATATTTTGTTTAATATTTTTTTGTTTTTTTATAATTTTATTATAAATTAATTAATGTTATTTCTTTTAGGGAGATTTACCTAAATGAGAGTGATTATATTCTTAATTGCCAAAATAGGATTAAAGTATAAAAATTCCCAAAATAGGAGTTATTATTTGTAGCCTCACAAAATACCCCCAGAAGCTTGACAAACGGACTCCCACCGACAAAGAGCATGACCAGCTGCCTCCAGACACCTGCGGCCGCCTCCAGCCACCGTCGGCCGCCTCCGTCCACCGCCGGTCTCGGATGCCGTCTTCAGCCGCCGCAACCTCAAAACTAGCCGCTGTTGCAGATCTGTTGACCGCCGTCGTAGATCTGGCCGCCATCTTCCTAGATCGAAGCAGATCTGGCCTCTGTTGACCATCGACCGCCGACCCTGCAGATCCAGCCGCCGATCCGGCTGCTGCTACCACAGATCCGACGGACGCCACCACTGATGCCAAAATTTTGAATAGAATGCCAACATAAATCGAAATTTCCATTTTAATGGCATTTTGTAAGAAAAATACGAAATTTTTAAAGAGTAAAAATGCCAATATTATGGCATTTTTAAAAAATTTGGAAATTTTAACAACCTAATTGAAAACCCCGTTTGCATCCTTCAAGAGCAATTAAAAATTCCAAATGAGAAGAGAGAAAAAGAACTCGGAGCCTAACATCACCACTACACCAGATCGAGACGGGATATTTGAAGAAACAGAGGAGTAAGAGGAAGAGGAGATCTGGTGGTTGCTGCCGCCGCTAGTCGGTGCACGTTGCTGCTTCCGCCGGGGCTTGCTGCTGCTCGTGGTTGAGGCCAAGCAATCTGCTGCGCACAAAGATGCGGCCAGGTTGAATTGAGATCGATGTGCAAATAAAATGACAGGTAGGGTGTGAGATGGGTTTAAATGATTAGGGGTAAAATTGGAAGAAAAGTCCTATTTGGGGAATAAAATTATACTACTCCTATTTTGGAATTTCAGCATTAATTTAGTCCTATTTGGGGCTATTTTCCCTTTCTTTTATGTTTTAATATCTTTTATGTTTTAATTCTTAATGAAAGTTGTTGGGGCTTGGGGTATACTTGTCCAAACACTAAAATTACTCCTATTCAAAACATTATATTCCTATTTTTGTATTTTGCCTATATTTTACTCCTATTTGGGGAATTCACTCTTAATTTAATATAGTTTGGCGCTTTACTTAAAAAAAAAATATGGTTAATGAAGGTATAATAAGCTATGGCCGTATGGGTCCATCTTTTTCATTTATTCCTCTCTAGAAATTGCCATAATTGGAGTAAAAAATGTTTGAGAATTCCATAATATGAGTGCTAGATTTTTATTCCCTAAATATGAGTAGTTATTGTCAAATTTTGAATATACTCACTTTTGACAGTATACTACCATGTTTAAAGCCTGATAGTACAAACTAGAAAAAAAATCAGTATTTCAATAATACTCATTTATTTAAAGAAGAAAAACACAATGGTCATATTTTGAAATTTTCAAACATTTTCACTTCTATTTCGGAAATTTTCTCTTTTTTTTTACATGTTTCCATACCAAGTTTTTAAATTGTGTTGCGGCCGCAATATTGCGGTTGCGCCGCCCTCTGCAACCGCATCAGGCTGCTACACAGCTGTTTTTCCAAATCGCCGATGTAAGCTGCAACATAGCCACGACAGAACCAAGACAGGACCGCGACGGCGCCGCATCGGTCCGCATCACACTGCATCCGGCTGCGACCGGCCGCAACGGCACCACATCCTGCTCTGGAGACCTATCTTCTTATACTCTGTTTTACTTGAAATGCCGCCGGTGAAGTCTGGAACGATGAAAAGATGAGTTGGTCTTTTCTTAAAGCTACTCCGTATTCTCCATAATACCGTTTTCACTTACCCAAGCTAAAGTCTACTCCTTTGATTTAGCATGTGTCTTTGTAAGTTAGTAACGATTTGCTTAGTTGTTTAGTATTTTATTATGGTAGATTCTATGGTACCCATAAGGTATTATGCATTTATCCACATAGATCCATGCGAATGTCGCAATTAAATTATTTAAATCTAAATTAAAAATGATAAAGTGATGTGGTCCAATCAAATGAATGGTAAGTACGGTATCCCATTTTTCAAAAGGGTATCGGAGTTGTCACCTTTTATTATTTCATTTATTTTACTACCTCCGTAATTGATATTTCTTCCCATTTGAAAGTAGGTGAGATTAAGAATAGTGAAAGGAGATATAAATTATTGAGGGTATGATGAGAGATAATGAAATAATGTGCTGGAATGAAGGATAAATCCAAAAAAGTAATTCTAATAGTGTATTATTTTAAAATTATTGAGGGTATGATGAGAATATTTAGAAATGAGAAGATATGAATGCATGTTATGGCTAAAAAGGGAAAGTGAGAAGATAATAATGTTACTGAGGGAGTAGTATTTAGTTATTGGGAAAACTATCAAATAAGCCCCCGTACTATACCGAAAAAGTCGATTAAGTCCTCGAACTATTAAAAAACGTTCAATTAAGCCCTTTCGGTCGGTAAGTAACCGATTTCCCGGTTAAATGTAACCCGTTTCTCGGCAGCCGGCGTTGTTGGGGTTCGAGCACGTCGTCGCCGTCGTCGCCATTTAACCGGGAAACCGGTTACTGACCGACCAAAAGGGCTTAATTGAACGTTTTTTAATAGTTCGAGGACTTAATTGAGTGTTTGTAAAGTACGAGGGCCTAATCGACTTTTTCAGCATAGTACGTGGGCTTGTTTGATAGTTTTCCCTTAGTTATTTACTCATTTATCTAGCTACAAAGTTTATTTATAAACAAACTTTGGGGGTGTTTGGATCTGATTCTCAAAACTGATTCTGCTCCTTCATGGAGCAGAAGCAGAAGCTGGAGTGTTTGGGTGAAATTACAGAAGCACTTTTGGAGCTCTAATTTATTCTCAGAATCAATTCTTTTAGCAGCTAGGGGGTACCAGCTTCTGAAAATTGATTCTGATTCTGCTTCTGCTTTTAAAAAAGAAGCAGAAACAGAATCAGTTCCAAATGGAAAAACTGTTGTTACACATTTTTTGTACACACACTTACACACTCGTGTCTGTGAAGTGTTATTTTTGTCTGTATACAGACACAACGCATTTGAAGTGTCTGTGAAATAAGTTATGTGTGTATACAGACAAAACAAAACACTTCACAGACACGAGTGTGTAAGTGTGTGTACAAAAATATGTACCCCAATTTATACGTGTAATTTATACTCCTTACATCCTAATTTGTTTTGCAAAGTCAACATTTTTTGTCAACCAATAATAAAAGTCAATCATCCCTATGGATAATTAATTCAATTTTTAATAATTAAAATTTACATATTCATAAACTACATTAAAATCTCTTCAAAGTTGTAAATTCCAAATTAGAATATAATTAAAAATTGACATCCTAATTAAGTGAATAAAACGAAACTCTTTGATCAAGAAAAGCCAGATTTTCAAATCAATTTGAGATGAAGGTAGTACTAATGATCATATAGTACTTCTTATTTACTTTGTGCAATAAACTTAACTACTATATACTTCACATTTGTTAAAGAATGTAAGAAAACCATCATACCCTATTTTCAACGCTAATGATACCGGTGGGCGTAGCTCAACTGGTAGTGAGGGAGTGCCACAAGGGTTAGGTCTCAGGTTCGAATCCCGGCAACTACGATGAGGGGTTACTATGCTGAAAAATGCATAGGGCCTCTGTAAGTACCGGGGACAGAGCTCCACTCTCTATCTGTCAGATTGTGATTATAGTCCAATTTACATCCTCCCATCGTGCCGTCCGGTCGGTGTTGGGGGGCCCTCAGGGATGGGGTGTCATCCTTTTTTTTCAACGCTAATGATAAACTTAACTACTTAATAATTAATTAACAACTGTGTATTTGTTAAAGAATGCAAAAACCATCATACCCTATTTTCAACTGTGTATTTGTTAAAGAATGCAAAAACATCATAATATTACCATTATGTGCGAACTTAAAAATATTTCACGCCGCAGCAGCCGTAATACGCATCCCAGCGGCCGCATTAGTCGCAACCACAGTGACCGCAACCGCAATTTAAAAGCATGTCCCATACTATAAAGGGGATAGGGGTTGACTCCAAAAATGTTTCACTTGCGTCGAGCTTCTAATTTGAAAGAAACCATTCACTAGTAGCAGTAGCAGAAGTTATTAGGCACACCAAATATCAGCATATAATACGGAGTACTTCTTTACCCATAGCTAGCCAACTAGGCCCCCCTCTAATTTTTAACGACAACCAAAAGTATATATACACTACGTATAAACGAAATCAACTCAAGCGGGAGTTCACTAAAAAAACAAATCTAGACATTCATGAGATATAACATTCGTCCCATTTTATGTGTTCTACTTTTATTTAGTACAATTATTAATGAATTTGTTGAAAAAATAAATTGAAATGTTACGTTGTTGATCACATATTTCTTTTCAAAATGGGAAATGGGACACTTATTTTGGGACAACAAAAAAAGAAAAGTTGAACATGTAAAATGGGACGGAGGGAGTAAATAATTTACAGAAATACTTGATTTACACGTTTTGTACACATTCCAAAAATCTACATTTCTTTAGATTAATTGTTTGTGATACCGACAAAATGCACTGAGACGTCTACAAAAGTATAGGAATGGCTTTTTCCAAGAAATAACAAGAAATTTAAAGATGGACTTTGAGCTTGACGTGCCATCTTATTTGTTTTCTGCGAGACAAATAATTAAACCTACTACCCTTACCTACTCTCCTCCCCCTTCTTCCACTATCATTCATCAGGTGACCAGAAATGAAAGTTTAGTTTTTTTGTTGTTTGTTCTTTAACTTTCTGGTCCATATATTACCCACATGCATGATATGCGTGCGTACAATCAAACTTGTTTAATTTAATCGTCAGTTTTCTGATGCGGTCGGGTTCGTTTGCTCTAACTTTGTTTTTGTTTTTTTAAGGATTTGGTTGTGTTTGTTTTCATTTTTAACTGTATACAGATTTTGCTGTCTAGCTGGGGTTGTTTTCGATCTGTTGCTGTTGGGAATTATTGGGAAAAGTCTTTTAGTTTACACATCTTCTCTCCATATATATAATAAGCTAGCTGCACAGGTTGTTGAATTAAGTGGGTTTTTATATCCACCCTAAGCTAAGTTTAGGGTTTTCATCTCTCTTCTGATCTGATCCTGGAGTGTTGGAGATAGCCAGGATAGATTGGAAGTATGGATTCGTAGAAATTCTTCTTCCAATAGTTTAACACCTTTTCATGTTAGTCCAAAAGTTGCTTCCTGGTCTTGCTAGCTCCGGCCTTCAGTCCAAATTAGGGTAAATGAATAGTTCAATACTCTATCTATCCATTCCACTCTACTCTTCTTATTTAAATTCTTTCACAATTTTTCCATAAAATTATTTTACAGTTACAAATTTGAAAATGTATTGTTTGATGCAACTATTGTACGATAAATCGTTAGACGGATCGTAAACATATATTTTTGCACTTCTGTTTCATAACTTAGGTGTTCACACGAACATCTAAGAACGAGTGGATCGATCGAGATCTTTATATATTGGTTTATTATTTTATATCAATTGATCGGACGAATACTTCAACATAACATGAAGTTTCATAATGAGATCAAGCTTGTATGTGTTTTTTCATTTTGTAGATCTTAGGTGGTGTTGCCGAAAAGGATGGATTCGATCAGCTTTGGTTTCGAAGAAAGAGGGTTTATGTTTTCGGAAAGCGGTTTTGAATTACTACCAAATGATACCACCTTCACAAGGAGCACAAAGGCATTTTACCAAATGGGTGAAAATGTGAATGGTCATAATCATCATCATCATGAAACCAATGAAGTTGAAGAGTTCATGGACTTCGGTTTAGGCGATATGCTTCAAAAGTCACCACCACTTCGAAGTGTATGTGATGATCCATGCTTGTTTAGGGTTTCAAGCGGTGAGGAGATCGACAATAATAATAACAATAATAATAATGACAATGGTGATGAGATATTATTATCTACATTACCTGGCACTATTATTATACCAGATCCAAATCATCCAACAGTATCAGATGATATAGATGCATGGCGGCTTCAAGTGCCGTTCGGTTTGGTATCAGATCATCAAGATCAAACCCCACTGTTTCCAGTTTCAGGTTATGAATCTGATCACACAGCTCCAATCTTCCAAGTGGGACATGATTGTGATAAGGGATTCTTATTAGGGGATAATAATAATTTCAAGAAAGTGAAAAGTCTTCATCAACGGTCAAAGGATAGTTCATCAATGGAAGCTGCTACTGATGAAGAGACTTCTGTGGTAGTGAAAAAGCCAAGGATCAGTACAAGTTATACTAATTCCCAGCAGCAAACTTCTATTGGAATTGTGTGCCAAGTTCATGGTTGCTTCCGGGACCTGAGCTCATCAAAAGAGTATCACAAGAGGCATAGGGTTTGTGATGAGCACTCTAAGACTGCAAAAGTGATAGTTGATGGCATTGAACAACGGTTTTGTCAGCAATGTAGCAGGTATATATGTGTGATATTCATTCTCCCTCCTATATTTGTTCGCCATTTTCTTGCTATTATATATCTTAATCAATGTGTTATACGTAGTACTTAATTTGATCATAATTATCATAGATAACCCTAAATTATAATCTTTGAGTGTTTTTAACAAATCAGTATCATAGATAGTATACTTCGTACTAAACCCTAAATTATCAATGTAGTATACACCCTTTTATTATACAAATATATACTACACACTATATGTCGAAGTTTAACATCTGTGAGAAAATAACTGATTTACTCATGTAATATATGCATGCGTCTATTGTTAGTACTGTATTTTTAGGAGAAATTCTCGAAATTAAATAGGAATAAAAATTATACTCCGTTCCAAACAATATTTCCCACTTTGACTTGAAACGCTTATTAAGAAATTAAAGTGAAAATAAAATGGAAATGCATAGTTGTGGTTCAGTAAAAAAAAGAAAATGAATGTTGAACACACAAAACTTTCCAAAAATGGTAAGAGAAGAATTTTTGGGACATCCCAGTAGTAAGTTAGAAAAATTTTATGGGACGAAGAAAGTATAAAATTACAATTAAAGGTAGAAAGTACTATATAGTACTCCCTCAGTCCCAAATTGTATGATACATTTACTATTCACTTGGTCAACACAAATCACTTTTAATCTTTTATTTTATATATCAAAAGTTTATGAAATTTGAATTATTTTTTGCAGGTTTTGTAGCGGTTTTAATGTAGTTTCTGAATATGTAAATTTTATTTTCTAAAAATAATTTGAGTGTTGACAGGGATCAATTTGCTTTATCGTCAGTCAAACATCGTAAACCGTAATGTATCTTACAAATTGGGACGGAGGGAGTATATATATACGTAGTATAAGTTTTCCTTGAATTGGATTAACTTAATTACTACCATCGTTAAATTGTACTCCATGTTTCAGCATCAAGAAGCACTAATGTGACATTATTAATATCATAATTGACAAAATATTTTTTAAGTATGATAGTAATTACTTACATTTAGATAATGAAAGTTGAATGCTCCTATTTTGAATTTCGGCGTCATTTCCACTCCTATTAAGAATAATTCTTTATTTTTAGTCGAATGCGTATTATTGCTCTTACTAATAAATGATTCCACATTATCAAACGCTTTGTGGTTCGATGACATCACTGTGACACTCTCAAAATGGAAATCAGAGATTCGAAATTCATCACAGTCAAAGACGTTGGCATTATTTAACAGAACAAATACTATTGTGAGAAAAAGAAAGTACAATCAAAAACATTATTACAAAAATAAAGAAATGTATCCACGCAGGGGCGGAGCCAGAAAAATGGCTCAGGGGTCAAAACTCAACCTATATATAGAATGAAAATGTTAGATCGTTTTTAAATCATGTCTAATTTGAATATTTCATATGTAGTTTAGATAAATAGACACTCGTAGCAAAAAAAATAGATTGTCTTTGCTCTATTTTTGAGTCATGTCATGCAAGCAGGGGCGGAGCCAGAAAAATGGCTCAGGGGGGTCAAAACTCCACCTATATATAGAATGAAAATGTTAGATCGTTTTTAAATCATGTCTAATTTGAATATTTCATATGTAGTTTAGATAAATAGACACTCGTAGCAAAAATAATAGATTGTCTTTGCTCTATTTCTGAGTCATGTCATGCAAGTATTGAGTGGATTATACCCTAATTTTAACATTTGGAAAATTAATCTATAATATGCATCAAATTTTGCTAATTTTACGTTTAGATAGTGCTGATTTTGCAGAAGTCGTAACTTTTTACTTGTAATGAGTTACGAGGGCCATAATATATCAAATCGAAGATATTTCAGACCTCTATACTCTTAAATGTTCAGCGGGGTCGGCTGACCACCTTGACTCCCCTTGGCTCCGCCCCTGTATCCACGTTAAAGACGACTATTTTACTAAAATGTACGGAGTACTATATCTAGCGGAAAACTCATGTCAATGGCATGCGCGCAGCTTAATTACTCGACTTTGTTTTCTTGATAATAGTACATTTCAGAGGATTTTAATTACGCGCAGCGTTTTTTTTTTTTTTTTGGAGCTAGGTGGGGGCGGAGAGGCAACTAGGCAAGCGCCTCCGCTTCGGGCCAAAAAAATTAATACTACTACTTATAATATATTCAATGTCCCCTTCTTATAAATATTATTTAAGAACAATTTTAGATTAAGTGTTAGAATAAAAGGCAACTACTTTTCGATAACGCTTCTCTAGGAATAGAAGAACTGACTGCAGCATACCACACTCATTGAATGCAGGTGTATATTGTTTCAGTAATTTAATAGAATACAAGTTGTCTTTTGGGGGGTTAAAGTGAGCAAAAAAGTATTGAGATTGACAAATATGTTGTCACATTTCCTGCAACAAAAAGATCAAAACATTCTCAAGGTTGTGTTGGATTCTCTCCTTAATTTAGATGTGTAGTGGTGTACAAAAAATTCTAGAGAAACTTTGATGAGATTAGTATAGAGAAACTTCCTATTTATATGAGAACGTTGAGGAGGGCTCTTGAGTGAGTCAAAGTGAGAGTCTGGAGAGGAGAGTGAGAGCCTTCTTGTGAGAGAGGAAATCTCAAACATATCGTTAGATCAGTGTAAGCCAGTGAAAAGCTTTCTTGAGGGTGGGAGGAGACACTTCATAAGACTTCTCATAAGTGTACTTGATCGAGTTAAGTAGAGTTAATTAGTCTCACATACAAAGAGTGAGTGAGGGTAACACAAAGTGACATTGTCAGCTTCACTCTTTAATTTGTAATATAAGTGTCTGGATGAGTGTAAAGAGTCTATAAGGTGGTGATCTTGAAAAAGATCGGGGGTCGTGTTTTTCTAACATGATGTAATTGTACAACATTTTGAAAAAATGAAACTCGTATTTATGATATATATGATTGATCTACCTAGATCATAGATATGAGTAAAGCAGGTATTTAATGAACTAATTTACCTAATATACTACGCTTTTATTGTTTTTATTATATTTTGAGTAAAATACACAATATTTTTAACCTCCAGTACGCCCCTCCTTCGAAAAATCTCTGGCGCCGCCACTATTTGCAAGCAAGTAATTGCATATATATGACTAGTAATTGGAACAAACATAAGTGACGTAACTAAGGGGTGTTTGCGGGGTTGGTTCTACTTTTTTTTTATATCTTGGGGTTGGTTCTACTTTTTTTTTTTTTGATCGTTTGGGGTTGGTTCTACTTAAAAAGTGATTTTATTTAAATAATATGGTTAATAGTAAAAATTGGTATGCAGTTGCGTTTGAAAAAATGGTTTTAAAAAAGTAAAAATTGATAGTAATTGATATATATAAAGAAGTAGTTTTTATATAATAGGAAAAGTGAAAAGTAGTGCACTCTGATTTTTCACATGTTTCACTTTTTAGTTTTGAAGTGCACATTTTAAGGCTAAGGGTACATTTGGTACAACTAGCTGAAAATAAACTTTTATAAACTTTTTGGTAGATGTTAGCTTTTAGTGACTGAAAAGATTTTAAAAGATAGAGGTCGTATAAAAGTTCTTAAAAACTGCCAACATTCAAGTAGAAGCTTTTTTAGACTTTTTAAATAGTACAAAAGCTAGAAGTAAGAAACTATTTCTTACTAAACATGCACTAAGTCTGGCAGCAGTAACAAGGTCATCATTGGTCGACCATGGAGGACACTGTTTTGCCCAAAAAATATCCCCGGAAAATATGTTCCGACGATCCCAATGACATGTTTCACAGCGGCACTGACATCCGAAAGTGACATAAAAATCTGGTAGTGACATGAAAAACTGCAGTGACATAAATTTTCGCAGTGATATCATATTTTTCCAAATATATGACATTATTGATCACATTTTTATCAATATTTAAAAGCAGTCACATTTTTTATCAATATTTAGTAATATTTAGAGCCCGTTTGGTAACGTTGAAATCAGCTTAATCGGCCGATTCTGCTGAAATTTCTAAGTTCTGACTGGTGTGGTTGTATTGGCTGATTTTGCTGATTTATGAATAAATTACATTTAAAATATATTTTATTAATAAAATAAATAAAAAATATATTAAAAATAGCTAAAACGGTCATCTATAGTAACTTCATCCAATACAGCCATAAAAGTAACTTCAACCTTACTTTTTCTTATTACTCCCTCCGTCTCGAGTTGTAAGACACTTTACGGTTTACGATGTTTAACCAACGATAAAGCAAACAGATCTCTGTCTGCACTCAAATTATTTAAAAAAAAAGCATTATATATTCAGAAACTACATTAAAAGTTTTTCAAAGTCACAAAACCAGAATCAAATTTGATAAAATTTTAAAATATAAAGTAAGAGATTTACTTCTTCAAAAAAAAGTAAAAGATTTAGAGTGATTTGTGTTGATCAAGTGAATAAGAAAAGTATCTCACAAAATGGAACCGGAAGAGTGTTACACAATTTAACGCGCCAGATCAAAAATTACGCATGAAATTGGCTAATAAGCATAAAAATAGATGTATTAAAGTAAAACCCCAATTAAAAAGCTCCCAAAAATTATTCGTTGGGCGCAGAGGTAACCCCACATTATTGGAAAGTGAGCTAGTGAATGTTGTGGGTTGGGGTTGATGAGGTTTGGCCGTTTGGGTTACCAAATATGGTCCTGCCCTATGATAGCACAATTGGGCCTAGAAAACTAATAATGGAGAAGCAACAATTCTAAAATACTCCCTCCATATTTAATTTAGTTCTATTTTTGAACTTTGTTCATGTTTTGGTCATATATTAGGCAATTTCTATTGATAGTACAGTTCAAATGAAAACAACTTCAATTACAACTACTGAACTGCTACGTATATCTCAAATGACTTGCCTAAGATTGTACAGGTTTCATTTGCTGCCAGAATTTGATGATGATAAACGAAGTTGTCGTAAGAGCCTTGCAGGGCACAATGAACGGAGACGAAAGCCTCAGTATGAAAGTCCCCATGGTACGCAATTGCTCTAAACTTCTCATTAATAGTTACTAGGTAGTATATAATAATGTTTTTTATACGATTTAGACGAAATTTGGGATTGAAATTGCGAGTTGGAAAAAATACTCTTATAAAGTAAAGGGGGTCAGTAAGAAGTGTGCTTTAGAATGCTACTACGTATAATTGTTTGACATTTTAAGTGTTCTCAAATAATGGTACGTTTGTTCTTAAATTGTGTTTTTATTTTCTAAATAAGAGTAGTATTGTCATATTTGAAAAATGATGTCACTTATGACGGTATATTGTCATATTTAAAGTCTCACAATGTTAAATATGATAGTAAACTTTTTAGTATAACATCAATAAACTCCAATAAAGGGAGCGACATATACTCCTATTATAAAATTTTATACTAGTATTGTTTTACTTCTATTCCGAAAATTTTCTCTAAATAAAATTACAATTTGTTATTATATTGTATAGATATTGAAAGAAGGGTTGAACTTGGGGTACACATTTTTGTGTGTGTACATACTTTTACACATGTGTGTGTAGGTTTTTTGTTTATACAAACAAAAAAAAATCTATACACACATGTGTAAAAGTGTGTACACAAAAACGCGTGTACCTTTAAAATTTTTCTAAGTAACATACCAGTCTAGTTTGTTCCTATATAGATACTCCGCATGTGGCCTTACTTCCAGGGGCGGCCCTAGGGTGCGTGCAACAGGGGCGACCGCCCTAGGCCCAAGAAAACAGTGAGTCAAAATAGGCCCAAAAATATTTCTTTGTATGTAGTGTGAGTAAGCTTCTTTCTTTATTCTTTAAGCTCAATTAATTGATTCAAGGTTTAATTTTGAAAATAAATGTAAAGTGGCATGCCTCTCTTAATTCCATTCGAAATTCCAAGTTTTATAATCCTTTTAATTACAAAATTACCAAGTTATGTTAGACCTCAAAAGTCCAAAACTCCCAATTTGCAAAGCCCATCCAAATTGATTTGTTGTTTCCCAATTCCAATATCAAAAAGAGTAAAGAACGCTGTAAAGTGGTGAGTGCCTCGGCGGTTTGTTAAGAATTGAAGTCGATCAATCGAGGAGCCCAAACGGCGGTCGGTGGAAAAAAAAAACTTCTTCTTTCAAGGCTTCAAACTAGTCATGGACCCGGGTCGGGTCGGGCCTCGGGTTTTTTTGGAGGAGGCCCGGGACCGGCCCGGGTAGCCACCGGGCCGGGCCTCGAGTCAATTTTTTTCCATTTCCTAATTATCCCCCCCCCCAAACCACCCCAAATGGCCCAAAATACCCAGCCCAACCCGAAAAGATAAAAAAAAATGAAAAAAAAGCCCGGAACCGGGCCCGAACCGGCCGGGCTGGTTCGGCTTTTGGGTGACCCGAGCCCGCACCGTGAACCTCCCGGGCCGGGCCTACCCGGACCGGTCACTGGCCGGGCCACCAGGCCGGTTCAGCACAGTACCGGTCCCGGGCCGGTTCCGGGTCGGGCCACCCGGCCCGAGTCCAAGACTGCTTCAAACAATCCATCCGTGATCAATAAACTATTCTTGATAAAAATTGGTGAATCAGGTTGGGATAAAGAGATAAAGAGAAAGAGATTAGAAAAGATAGGGTTAGGTTAGCAGGGATGAATGGAAAATTTAGCCTTTGTTAAGAAATTGAATCTTGAAAATTTCGTGAGTAACGTTATTAAGTAATGTTTTTCTTTTTATATGATACTTGTGTTGTTACTTGTCACCAAATATGTAATTTAAATAATAATAATAAAGTGTGTTTCGTTTTTATTTAATGACCTTCATTAGATAATTTTATTATAACTATTATTTTAAATAAATATAATTTATTATTTGTCTTGAATATAAGCCCGAAATATTATCCTGCCCATAGGCCCGAAAATAGACAGGACTGGCCCTGCTTACTTGTTTGGTCGAGTTTAGTCTAATTTAGTTTGGTTTTATTCAATATTATTATTGCATCTGGCATGGCCTAACTTGGTTAGTATGTTTTGCTTGGGTCTTGTTTGAGACTTAATTACTTAAATGAGCATATCATACTTCAATAAAAGATAAACATTCATAATCCAATAACCCAAATATGAATAATGTATCAAATATCAAATCAAGTTGTCACCATCAAACAATAATGTCATCCCTACTTTAAAAGTTTAAGGCAGGTCATCCTGGACATTTAATTGGCATATTAATTGCACGACTAAAAAATACTACATATTAGTTAAAATGTTATATCAAGCAGCATAAAAATGTCATCTTGATTGTCAAATAAAGCGAATGTATAAAGATATGCCATCCCAATTGCAACACGAGAACTAATATGCATGCGAGTATGTTAGATATTTTCTTTGTTCTTTAATTCTTGCAACATTGTGATTTTTGCATTATTCACGGGTCTTACTTTGACCACAATTTTCTACTAATATACACAATCAAATTATTACGTATAAAATGTTATTGAATTTCCTAAACATCAACTTTTTATAATGTTTACTAATACATAATTAAATATAATTACAGTCAAAGTTGTGCGTTGACAAACGTGAAAGTCAAATTGTTGCAAAAATTAGAGAAAAGATGATAGTATTACACAAATGAGACAACTCTAAATATATAGGAGCATATTAATCATTACATGGGAATAAAATATAGACACTCCTCTTGTGCTACTATGGCTAGGTTTGAGTCATATCTAGAGCAATTTCTTTTTATGGAGTATTATATTGTCTTATCTGTATTTATTCATAGAACATTAGAACTACTTTTTCATATGTATGTATATATGTGGGTTGTAGCTATGACAGGTCAAAGGTTCTTTGGCATGAATGCACAGTCAACGCCCTATTTCTTACCGGAACTGCTTCCTGTCAATTACTTTGGTCAAGAAAACTATGAATTAGAGAGCAATGGTAAACCAATGAAGAAATCGGAAGAGAAGCACATTTCTTTCTCCACTTTAGAACTGCCACAATCGGCAGGGCATTTATTTGCCAAGAACCTCCCTAATCTACATGGTAAGAAGATAAAAAAAAGGAACTTCATCTAACAATACTTTGTATTAATATACCCTCCCAAAATGCATGATATCACTATTGGGGTTCGACAAAAAGCTATCAAAATTAAAAGTTACATATTTCGAAGTTACATTAAACAAAAGGAAAATCGCATTTTTAGTCCCTCAAATAGTCACTATATTGAAATGTTAGACCTGTAATTCTTAGATTGTAAATGCCACCCCTTAATTGTTCAAATTGTTGTAAATGTTGTCCTTTCAGGGTGAAACGTACTTCTCACTCACATTGTACATTTCACCCCTCAAAGGATCACATTTATAGCAGTTTGAACAATTAAGAGGTGACATTTACAAACTTGAGAACACCGGTATGACATTTCAATATGGTGACTATTTGAGGGACTAAAAGAGTGATTTTCCTTTAAACAAATTATGCAATTGCACAATTTGATTTAAAAATGATAAATTTCATATATAAAAACAAGAGATTAAAAGTGAACTGTCTTGACCCTTGAATTATACGTAGTATGTAACATTAAAGTAGAAAAGGATTTTTTTCTACTATGGCTGGAATTGTTATGAACAAAATGATAAAAGACTTTTTTCTACTATGGCTAGACTTAATATGATAAAAGACTTTTTTCTACTTTTGTCTCCCTAATGATGTGGTACACCATTATAGATGCTCTGGTTAAAGTATTGTATGTATAATTTCAACAATGACACATTTGAGGAAATTAAATGTAACAAGCTAAGTAATATTATGTCACTCTTAACAAAAAGAATGAAAGATTTTTTTCTACTAGTAACTAGTGATGGGGATCTGGTAATGTATTTTTACTCTTATTTTGATCAAGTACTTTTTCTAATAAAAAAAACGTGGAGATCACTTTATTCCTTCTGCTAACTCATGAAAACTTTGGTGACATTTCAGCAGCTTCTCTTCCGGGAATAAGTCATCATGTTTCCTTCCTCAGAGACTTCACCAATAATCATTCAGGGGCAAGTACTTTAAAGAGCTTGACAGGGGATGGGCTTTTACCTGGAGTCATTGAAATGGAAGGAAGTTATTGTCATGCTTTTGACAATAGTCTGGGCATTTATTATGAAACTGAAACAGATGAAAGTTTTCAATCTACTGAAAGTGGGAAGACCATTGATTTGCAGCAGTTATCAACACATCTTCAGAGAGTTGAGCAGCAAAGAAAGCTCTGCTCAAGTGAAGCCGCTAGAGAAATGGAATTTCGTGACCTGGAAACTTAGGAAGGTTTTTGTACTTCTTGTTCCGTTTAGGGGGAGAGTGATAAGAAAATTAAAATGTCTCATTTGGAGCTCCTACTCTTGGTAAAATTCTTATTAATGGAGGAGGAGGGGGAGGATGTTGATGATGGATTATGTTAAGAATGATTTTTGTGTGATTTCCTCTCATATACTCTTCAACCAAACAATATGATAATGTATGTTTGGACTTTGAATCCTGGAAAATACCGTACAGAGAAATGAGAAAACACCGACATGTGATGATACAAATTTACAATTTTATCTTTGTCATAAAGTATGATGATCCAATGAGAGTGCTTTTGTGTCGAGTTTTACACAACATTATCCATCCACATAATATGCATCGTAAGTCCATCAATATTCATGATGCAACTCAGGAGTAACATTAGGGTTGTAAACGAATCGAATCGAACCGAATACTTAATAATGTTATTCATATTCGTATAATTATCGAATATTCGTATTCGTATTCGTTTACAATTCGAATCTTATTTGATATTCGTATTCGATTCGTTTGATATATTCGAATATCTATATTTGAATCTTTTTCGAATCGAATTCGAATATTCGAATTCGAAAAACATTAAAGTTAAATTGTGGAAATAATTAAAATTATGAAACAAAATACGATACAAGTCACTTCAAATTTAACATCAATATAAATAAATCAATGGAGAATTTTAATTGTAAATTAAGCTATTTTGACTTGGTAAAGTAAGAACGTTTAAATTAAAATATGCAAAATATTTACATGAATATTATGTTATTGATATTTTTACATTGAATTATATTATTAATAAGAAGTAGTATATATTGTATGAATATATGAATATATATATATATATATATATATATATATATATATATATAGACTTTGGTTCAAATAAGAACACACCTTAACGTAAGAAATGAGAACAAATCTCATCCGTCCAAAATCTAAATCGATCTGCGATCAACTTAATGGTAGTAAGGGTTGTTTTTGTCTAACATATGTTTGGCAGTTTTGGTAACCGACGATTTATTTATTACCTTCCTAATTCCTACGGTCTACTAATGGAAAGAATAACTTCCATATCATATTGAATATTTTATTTTATCTTGTCATATCAATTGAGCTATCCAAGCATAGATATAAAATATCATTCCTTTTGTTCAATTTGTCCATCACGTTAGTCTCCTTTCAAATTGTAATTTATTTTCTATTCATTTATTTTAATTTGCATCAAATAGCAATTGTAGTGTGTTATATCCTGCCTAATAATAAGATGGCCGGTTCATGTGCATAAAATATTGGTTGTTGTTTGTGAGATATCGATTCTTGTGCGGTAAATACTTAATGTGATTATATATACATATATTATGTGTTAAGTACTAGTTCTTGGGTGTATATTTGTATTGTGCATTAGATATTGATTTTTGTGTGTTATATATTAGTTTAAGTTGTGTGAAATCCTTACGCATTAGATATTAATTACTTTTTAATTTCGTGTGTCAGATATTGTTCTTTGTGCATTAGATATTGGATTTTGTGCTTAAGATACTTGTTTTAGCTTTTCTTATACAAATTGTGTGCTAGATTATGGTTCTTGTGCGTTAGATAGTAGTAGTTGTGTGTCATATACATATTCTTATGCATGCGGTAGCTGTAGATGTTTTTGTGATTTATTGTATAAATATTATACTTAATTTTTTATAGCAAATTTATATATGACATACTGGTGTCATATGAAAGATAAAAAAAAATTATTTAATTTGATATAATTTTTGTTAAAATCGGATTATAATTTTAAAAGTTAAATCAGTTTTTAAAGTAAAACATTTGAAATGCTTTAAGTATTTATTTTTAGCTACTTTTTAGGGAAATCAATCAAACCTCCAACGATAGGCATTAAAGATTTTTATGAAAAATTACTGCAGTGCCCTTCTTTTAACTTACGGTTGAATTGGAGAGTGGGGGTTATTTTTTAATGCATGCACTCCCACAGTATATCCGTGTATCTCATCCATTTTAGGCCTTTAATTTACTAAGATGTATGATTAAGATTTGTTCTTATTTCTCACAATAAGGAGTGTTCTCATTGGAGCCACTCCCTATATATATATATATATATATGTTCGAATAGTATTCGAATCGAATATCATAGTATTTGTATTCGTATTCGTAAAGTATTCGAATCAAAAAACATATTTGTATTCGTATTCGTATTCTACTTGTTCGAATTCGAATCGACATTTTCGAATTCGAATCACGAATCGAATCAAAATTATTCGATTCGTTTACAACCCTAAGTAACATGCTATTTTCAATGATAATGAGTAACGAGCATGAAAGCGTCTTTGAGGATATCAATGATGTTAAAGAGCATGATGATTTTATCAATGAAAGATATTGATATCAATGATGTTGAATAGCATGATGGTCCTATCAGGTGATCAGCTCTTAGCTTGAAAAAGTTAAAATGAACGTTTTCAAATGTCTGATTCTACCTAATTAATATAAAGACATAAAAGCTGGAAGCAGATGTAAGAGTGTTTTAAATTGGTTTCCAATTTTTATATTATATAAAAAACATTTTTTTTCCAAACCACCAGCAACTCTTACTTTTTCAAAAACATTTGATTCTCAACTACTATCAAAATTTACTACTCTCTCCGTCCCGTAAACAACTTCTCACATTCCTTTTTGGGCAGTCCCGAAATTAACTTCACACTTCAAAACTTTCCTTATTTGGCAAATTTTCTACATCAAAACAGTGCCAAACAGTGTCTATATAGTGTCAACAGCGTTTAAACTGTGCAAAACAGTGCACTCCACAGTAAAGTCAAATTTATTTTCTTAATCTGTGTGAAGTCAAAGTGTAAAGTTAATTGCGGGACGGAGGGAGTATTATACACTTTCTCTACAATAATTTAAAAAATCACTTTTAAAAATAGAAGTTTAAGTGTGAATAATTTAAGTGGTGAAGGTAAATGTTGATTCAGTGGTTAATGCACGTGGGGATGTTAGAGCTTGGGGATGGATTGCACGTAACGACCAAGGCAAATTCATCAAAGCATATGGGGGGTCGAGGATGGCGAACTGGTCTCTAGTGGAGACTGAAGCCTTGGGCATTCGGGAGGCTATTCCGGGAGCAGTATGTGAAGGGTGGAGTGAGGTCGAGATTGAGCCAAATGCCCAATTGGTGATACATACTGTCAAGAAGGGGGGAATGGAATTTCATATATTGGTTTGATGATACGTAGTATATGCTTCATACAAAGAGCCAAAGAGGATACCCATATTTTGACGGAGACACGTCAACTTTTTTTTTTATAGTTTTATAAGAAAACAACCTCATAAAATTTAACATTTATAAATATATCTTGTATCTGTATCCTATCTTTTTTTCGAGTTTGTCGTATCCTCGTACTCATTTCTGTGTTTCCCGCACACCTATATGGTCTTACTTGCCTTTTTTTTGTGAAATAGTATGGTCCTACATGCCTAAATAGACGAAAATGTTTGAAACTTTAATTAGAAATTACTTCAAATAGGACTAAAACTATGGCAAAAACTCAAAATAGGACTTGTTATGTTTTTTATTCCAAAATAGGACCAATAGGACCATAGTGGTCATATTGGAAACATACTCATTTCTTCCTTCCATTCTTACACCTCCTTTAAATATTAGTAAAAGATAGCTAAAAGTCATAATTAAATGTTTAATTCATAATAAATTCGAAAAAATTTCAATAATTCGTAGAAAAATAATAAAAAATTAATAAAATTTTAATAAAATAAAAAATAAGAATTTTTTTTTTTGAAAAATAATAAAAAATAGTAAAACTCCATAAAAAATTAAAAAAAATATGGATACCTTTCCCACCGCCTGTACTACCTCCCTGAACCACCACCCCCGATCGGTGTAAAAAATGCCACTTTTTTTTTAAATTCCACAAAATGACATATTTTTCTATGAGAATGCCAACATTTTCATTCTGCCAACTTGAATTCTTTTGATTTTTGCCAAAAATATGGCATTCATAATTTTTTGGCATTTTTTTACCCCGGTGACAGGAGGTGGTGGTACCGCCTCCCTGCACCACCACCTCCGACCGTTAAAAAAAATGTCATATTTACTACAAACTTCCATTTTTTTTTCGGAAAATGCCAAAAATATGGCATATTTCTCTTTGACAATGTCAACATTTTTTTCTTCCATCTTAAATCATTCTGAATTATGCCAAAAATATGGAATTCATAATAAATTTGACATTTTTTCCCCAAATGACTAGAGGTGGTGGTGCTGGGGTGGCAGAGGCGGCGGTGACAAAATTTGTTTTTTTTTTGATTTTTTTTAATTTTTTTTATTTTTTTTCTATTTTTTTTTTTAAAATTTATTATTATTCAAAATTTTTTTATTAATTTTTTTGGTATATTTTACAATTTTTTATTATTTTTTATTATTTTATGATGAATTAAAACATTCCAATAGGTATAAGGGTATATTTGTCCAACACACATAATTATGATCTTATTTGTACAAAGTGAATGACTTTTAGTCCTATTTTTGATAATTAACTCAAAATTTAATATGAAAATTCTGGTAATTTACGGAACCAGTGGTGACATACCGTAACCACTAACCACTAACAAAAGTTTTGACCAAATTCTAGTCAACTAGACCACTAGAGTAGAAATACTCTTTTTTAAATGAAGTGATATGAAAAAAAAAAAATTGGAGGGAAGTATCCTGACGCTAAAATTAATTCCCGCCATTTGAAGTCTCCAGATTCGCTGACCGACTCATTCTCTCATTCTCCAGAGTCCAGAACGGATACAATTACACGAAGATAGTGAAACATGAGGGACATGATAACTCCTGAAGCTGCTATGGAAGGGAAATCTGACGGCCTGGAGATCATCTCAATCGGCAAGCTTTACAGCGGTCCTTGGGACAAGAAGTACTGGAGCTCCTCTAGGGTTCGTTTTTCATTTCCGTTCTATGATTGACACACTCGATCCACTTATGTTCTAGCTGCTTTGGTTTTGCTCTTCTACTTATGATGAGTTTTTTCATCTTTTAAATTTTGTTTTAAAATTCGAAGTGCAATTGGAGTTCGAAGTCTCATAGCTCTACCCATATTGAACTTACAGTAGAAGATAAATTGTCTCGTATATCCAAGCACTTTGGATACAAATTACTTACAACACATTTTCATGTAGTAACATAGTATAAGTGTGATAAATTTAATAGAACATCACGGGTAAGTATAAGGTAGCCTCTGA